ACTAAGGTGCGCCTGACCCAAGCCATGCTATTTTCAATAACCTCATATGGATGCGAAAGCTGGACAGTGAATAAGAAAGACTGTAGAAGAATTGATGCCTTTGAGTTGTGGTGTTGGAGGAGAATACTAAAAGTGCCATGGACTGCCAAAAGAACCAATAGATCTGTTTTGGAAGAAGTGCAGCCAGAGTGCTCCTTGGAGACCAGGATGGCTAAGCTTGTCTCTCATACTTTGGACATATTGTCCAGAGAGAACAGTCGCTGGAGAAGGATGTCATGCTGGGTAAGATGGAGAGTCAGAGAAAAAGAGGAAGACCCCCAACGAGATGGATCAGCCAGGTGGCATCATTGATGGCGTCAAGTGTGGCAGCGGTGGTGGGGTTGACCCAGGATCGGACATTGTTTTGTTCTGCTGTGCATGGGGTCGCTATGAGTCGGTTCCGACTCGATGGCACCTGACAACAGTAACAACAACTTTCATTATTGTTGTTGTTGAGAGCCGTCAAGTCAGTTCCAACCCATAGCAACCTTGTATAGGGTTTCCAAGGAGTGTCTGGTGAGCTTGAACCATTGACCTTGCAGTTCAAACCGACTTTGCAGTCCAGCGTATTTCATCCACAATGCCACACCAGGCCTCCCTCTCATTATTGTTGTTGTGGTTGTTGTTGAATTGGTTGGGACCCATAGCGACCCTATATAGGGTTGCCAAGGAGCAGTTGGTGGGTTTGAGCTGCCCACCTTGTGGTTTGCAGTCTAGTGCAGATCCTACAGCACCACACCAGGAGTCCATACACACATACACATACATACATACACACACACAAAAAAAGCTTTGTGTGCTACTGGTAAATAGTACCCTACTTCTGGGATAACAAAGTATTACATTACTAACTGCTGCTTCTCTTTTAAACAGGCTTAAGGATTTACCCACTGCCCTCTAATCCATTCAGACTCATAACTACCCTGTTAGTCAGACAGAGCAGAACTACCCCATAGAATTTTCAAGACTGTAATCTTTACAGGAAATCCTAGTGTGGTGCTGAAGGATAAATAAGCACTGGGCTGCTAACCAACCACAAGGTCAGCGATTCAAATCCACCAGCAAATCCTTAGAAACCCTTTACAGGGTCCCTATGAATCAGAATCAACTTGACTCGATGGCAGCAAGGGGGAGTTAACCTTACTTAGATTCTATTTCAAACACACTGTGGTAGGGAGAATCATGGTTTCCAAAGATATAAATTAAGGATGTTTAAACAGAGAGATTTTCATGGTGGGCCCAATATAATCTTGTAGTTCCTTAAAAGCAGAGAGCTGTTCCCAGCTATGCTCAGAGGGAATTGTAACTACAGAATGATCAGAGATACATTGCTGAAGTTTCGTGAGTTACTTAGTATGGCCCTTCTAGCCATAGGCTTTGTAGTTCTCACACAATGCATGAGTTGTTGTTGTTGTTGTTAGGTGCCATAGAGTCGGTACTGACTCATAGTGACCTTATGCACAGCAGAACAAAACATTGCCTGATCCTGGGCCAACCTCATTATTGTTGCCTAGCTTGAGTCCATTGATGCTGCCACTTGGCCAATCCATCTTACTGGAGGTTTTCCTCTCTTTCTCTGACCTTACCAAACATGATATCCTTCTCCAGTGACTGGTCCCTCCTGACAATATGTCAGAAGTATGAGAGACTAAGTTTGACCATCCTGGCTTCCAAGGAGCATTCTGGCTACACTTCTTCCAACACAGATCTGCCTGTTCTTTTGGTGCAAATAAATTGCTTGTGGCCTACCAAGAAAGTTGAACAGCCTGCTAATAATGCAAAAAAACAAAACAAAAACTGCTTGTGGATACCTTATAAGGGATTGGTCAGTTTTACCATCCTATTAGGGTTAAAAAGAAGGAGCCCTCATGGCGCGATAGAATATACACTGGATTGCTAACTGCAAGGTCGGTATTTCAAACCCACCAGCCGCTCTGTGGGAGAAAAATAAGGCTTTCTGCTCCCGTGTGGTTTATAGCCTCAGAAACCCTATACAGCATCACTACAAGTCAAAAATGACTCGATGGTAGTAAGTTTGGTTTCTTGAGAGACTTAAAAAAAGCCAAACCCAGTGGAAAGAGGGGACACAGCTACCATCAAGAAAGAAAAGCTAGGAGTGGAGCTTGTCCTTTGGACCTGGGGTCCTCCAAGACCCAGGAGATAGTGAAAGCTATGCCACCAGAGACAGTGCAAGGTGGTGAGAAGCAGCGGCAGAGAAATCGTAGCAGCTGAACCAGGAAACCAGCGTGAGATGGTGCTGTGGCCACCCAGCCCACAGAGCAAGGTGATTACACTGAGTGTTTGATCCAATAAGTAAGAGAGCCAAGCATCGGAGGTTTGCTGATAGACTGGGATGTCTCCAAGAACATGTCCACAGAGCTAGGATTGCCAACCCATAGAGTGAGAGAGCTGAGCATTAAAGCTGAAAAACTTTCTAACACTTTCCAGCACAAGGCCAAGGGCCCAGGAGAGACTATCTTGTAAGCACTGCGGAGAAGCTGTCCTGAACAAAGAGCTATATCCTGAGTCAGACCTGAATCTAATAGTAACCTCTTATTTCCCAGATAAACCCCACAATCCTGAGTACTGTTTGGAAGTTTTGTGACCACTGCAACAAATCATTGAAGCCAGCAGAGAAAGAGAGAGTATCATGGGAAAGTGGCTGGTGTCAGGAATAGCAAAGTTTGGAGAGTGAATATATGTCTGACCTCCTCTTCATAAAAGGAGCTTTGGGCTGATGCTGTTGATGGTGTTTCTCCTCCCTCCTGAAATTAGACCAGGTTTGATGATGCCACACCACCATTTTTACTGCTCTGATGATGAGAAAGTAAACTGCAATTAAGGTGAAAGGCGGAGACACAGAACCATGATGTTCCTCCAGTACTTACATCTAGTCCATGCTGAAGGCAGCCTCATCCTTTCTTTCCCATGTTTCAGGTAGGTAAGCCACTAAATTTCTCTTTCCCTTATACTAGTTTTTAATTTGAAGTTCTGGTATGGCACTGTAAGATAAGTACTGGACTGCTAGTCACCAGGTCAGCAGTTAAAACCCACTAGCCACTCCTCAGAAAGCCTATATAAGGTCACTGAGCCGGAACTAACTAGACAGCATTTAACTAACAAGTTCCTAGTTACATTCTATGACTTGCAACCTAAAAAAATCCTAATGTAACACACTTATTTAGTTCTACATTTAAAAAAACAAACAAACAAACAAAACTTCTCATATGCCAGGAACATTATCTATAATGTATTGTTCTCAATGCTGTGGAGTTGGTTCCAACTCATAGTGAACCTGTATAGGGTTTCCAAGGAAACCCTTGGGTTTGAACTGCCAATCTTATGGTTCAAACTGACCTTGTGGTCCACTGCTTATCCTACAGCGCCACACTAGGACTTACTGAATAGTATGACGCTCAAAACACTTTGAGAGACCAAATTCAAGTCAGTCAGTAAATACACAACACCCTCTACCTTCAAAAAACCAAAACTATTGTCAATTCTACCACAAAGTGAGCCTACAGGACAGAGCAGAACTGCCTTGTAGATAGGGTTACCACAGCTGTAATGTTTTATGGAAGTAGGCGGCCTCATCTTTCTCCCAGAGAGCAGCTGATGGGTTCGAATTGCTAGTGTATTGGTTAGCAGCCGAGTGCTTCACCACGGTGCCACTACAGTTCTTCCCTCTATCCTAGAAAAATTTAAAAGACTAATGGCTCCCAGTGTAACTCCCCTAGTGCTGGTCCTGTCAGTTCCTGATTAGCAACTAAATAGTGATATATCGATCTGTAATGATTCTACTCCCATTCGTGATTTTACCTAACCTTGGTGTGGGGTATGCTTTTCAATTGGTTTTTGCTTTTTAAAAGCAATAAAAGATCAACCCAGCTATAATTTTCAATTCAGTTGCATTACATGATAGAAGCAGCATTTTTAGCGCAATTAAGCAGCTATAATCATCACATCATCAGTAGTATACATGCTGTTCTGGGGGTGGAGGCTGATAAAAATTATAGTCGCTTCAAGCATTAATCTGTTTAATTTGTCATACTTTATTCCTTGTATCAATAGGTTAAGAAAGAATTTTCCCAAGTGCTGATTTATAAAGCTTATAAGCAGTGCACAAAACATTGTTTCACATATAGTAATATACAGTGATCCCTTGAAACACAATTTCAATCATCGTTTTGAGCTAGGTACAACGACAATTTAATACAATACAGCTAAACACACACAAAACCTGTCTATTCTGAACTACAAAAGCAGTTTGTATAGATTCTAGTCAAGTATACATGTCCACAACATACAAGAACAAATATGTTAATAAAACATTACTCCAAATGCTTATCCTGCCATCAGCTTTTTAAGCAAAGTTATTCCTAATACTGAAAGCATTTTATTTTTTAGAAGATTTAATCTGATCTGGAAAAATTAGTTCTCCTAAAACTTGATAAATAGTAGACATAAGACTCAAAAGGTTTTTCATTAAAAAGCCCCCAAACACTGAAATGTTTATATGAGACTTTTAGTTTCTCAAAAACATTACTTTTATCTGAACACTATTAAATGAGTTGTTTTTTTTAAGGTTTTTATTAAATGATTTTTTAAGGCAGATAAATATTCTCACATAATCTGTATTTTCCTAAATCATCATTTACTAAAGAGAAACACAAACCAGTCCACTATCTTTAACCATCTCAGAGACTACTGTTGTCTAGAAACTTGAGAATACATGAAACACACATCAGCTATCATTGCATCACAGGTGCAGTTTAGAGTTCACATATTAAACAGCTACAGTACTGACCACCATGGCTCAAAGACGCCTAATACATAAATACTACTTTGTTGTTTTGATAGCCAAAAGTCAGAAAGTCATTTCACTTACTCGTGGTCATTAAAAGCCAATGATTAATTCAAGTATGATATAAAGCCAGGCAATTAAAGGCTCACTATCAATCTAAAACCAAAGACATGAAAATGTTGTGTTTCTCTACCTGTCATTTACATAGTAAGCTATATCAGGACCTTTCTGTAGAAAATACAGTTACTACATATAGTTTTCCCAGAAGATACGTAGCTTCAGAAAATACAAAATCTGTCATGATCCATAGTTTGCTTCATCAAATGCTTTTCTAGCTCTTTTCAATTCTTCATTCATAGTAAGCAAGTCTTTAACTCTAGCAAACTTCCTTGGGTCCTTTCGAATCAAGAAGACTATATCTTCAACTTGTACTCGACCTTGTCTTCCGATTGACATTGCCTTATGAGTCTATGAGAAATAACATATTAAGTTCAATGTTAAAAGTCTAGTACTTTACTGTTTTAATTTGCATATATATAATCACAGGGGAAATTAAAGATTTTCTCTTCTAATCTGTCTTTCTATTCATGTCTTCTGCCCCTTTTTTACTGAGGTGTTAACAATGCTTTCTTTTAAATGCTTACAGGCATTTTTTTTTTTTTTTAACACATTAAGACCACAAAAACTATCAAATTTGATATTTATTTTCTTAGGATTTTGATATACATAATTTCCATCGTCATTTGTACACAATAATTTTTTTCTTCAGAAGTATCCATTGCATTTATGCTTTGAGTCCTCCTCCATCTTGATAACCAATTAATACTAAACCTTACTCCTATATACTCATTATATACTTATCTTGTAAAAACACACAGGTTTAGCACAGTATTATTTCTAATGACAAAAAAAAAATGGAAACTAAGTATTTAATAATAAACACTGGGCAAACAAATTTGAGTATATCCATTCAATTAATATAATGAAGTTATTAAATATATAATATTTAGAGTACAATACAATGATACAGAGTCCTGGTGTGGTGCTGTAGTATAAGCACTGGACTCCAAGGTCAGTTTAAGCCTCGAGGTTGGCAGTTCAAATTCCCCAGCAGCTCTGGACTACTAACCACAAAGCAGTTAACCCATTAACTGCTCCTCAGAAACCCTACATAGGGTCACTTTGAGTCAGAACCGATGCGATGGCATTTAACAACATAGCGTTTCCAAGAGTCCTGGTGTAGCACTGTAGGATAAGCACTGGACTGCTAACCACAAAGAGGCGATTCAAACCTACCAGTTGCTCTTAGAAATCTTACATAGGGTCGCTATTGAGTAACATCCGACTCAACAGCACTTAACAACAATAACAATCTTCATGGACGCAGACTGCTACATCTTTTGGGTAGGAATCAAGAATTTTAATCACTGAGCCACTTGAGGATCTATATAAACACAATACCACTACATATATAACCATGCTTACTGATAGAGTCCCTGGGTGGTACAAGCAATTAACACATTTGGCTACTAACAAAGAGGTTGGAAGTTCAATTCCACCCAGTTGTTGCGAAGTGCCATCAAGTCAGCTCCAATTCATAGTGACCTTGTATAGGGTTTCCAAACAGAAACGACAGATGTGAACCACAGATCTTGTTAACAGCCCAGTGCTTATCCGACTACAGTGCCACCCCAGAGCTGCCTTAAAAGAAATGTCTGGTGATCTAATTTTAAAAAACCAGCCACTGAAAACCTTGACAAACATGGGACAACTATGAGTCAGAATGGCTTGATGCTTGATGGCAACTGCTTGCTATTTTTTTTATTTTTAAACTTTGTTATTGTTAATTGAGTATATTATTTTTTAACGATAAATAGTAGTCATTCCACAAAACAGGTACTCAAGTAGGTAATTTAGTTAGAAAAGATGCCATAAACTTTAGTCTTGTCAAAGTTTAGAATTTCACATATATTCAATTATCAAAAATCAATTACAAAAAAATCTTACCATTTCAGTGATGAACTCTATGACAAGGTCTTCAAGAATATCAACGGACTCAGTGTAAGGATTCTGGTCATCTCCAAACCCATACATCATACATCGTACTATAAGAGAACACATCACTCTTGTTTACTGAACAATTTTTGTGACAATACTTAAACGTTTTTACAGTAAACGAGATTTGAACCCAGCTCTGGTAGCGTAGTGGTTACAAATCGGGCTGCGAACCTTAAAGTCAGCGGTTCGAAACTACCAGCCGCTCCGCGGGAGAAAGATGAGGCTTTCTACTCCCGTAAAGATTTACACCCTCGGAAACCCTGTACAGGGTCGCTATGGGTCGGAACCGACTCGATGGCACTTAACAACAACAACATAGATAATACTAGTGTGACAGTCAAGGTTTTGTGTCAACTTGGCCGGGCCAGGATTCTCAGGGTTAGTAGGTAAGATGTAATGATCACCTCCATGATGAAATCTAGTATGATACAATCACACCCATGATGTCATCAGCTGAGATGTGATGTCATTATTCTGTGGTGTAAATCCTCACTTTTATGATGTTAATGTTTTGGTGTGGCGCTTTACAATAAGCACTGGCCTGCTGACCACAAGGTCGGTACTTCAAACCAACCAGCTGCTCCTCAGAAACTCTAATCAGGGTCACCACAAGTCTGAACTGACTGGATGACACTTAACAACATGATGTTAATGAGGCCAGATGCAATCTACAGAGTTAGGTTGTATCTTGAGTCAATTTCTTTTGAGATATAAAAGGAGTGAGAAATGAGCTGAGCTGAGCTCAAAGGAACCTACTGCCACCAAGATGGAAGAGTCAGGAATAGAGTGTCCTTTGGACCTGGGGTCCCTGCACTGTGAAGCTCTTAGAGTTGGGAGATGACTGATGCCAAGACACATGGAGCTCTCCAAGGAATGTTGGATCTACAGATGCTGAAAGGAGACAAGGACCTTTCCCCAGAACCAACAAAGAGAAAGCCTTTCCCCTGAGCCGGCACTCTGAATTTGTACTTGTAGTTTCCTAAACTGTGAGAGAATAAATTTCCAGTTCCTAAAGCCATCCACTTGTGCTATTTCTGTTAGCAGTACTATATAACTAAGACAACTGGTATAAAAACATACTTGCATTATATTTATTATCTCCAATTAAGAATTCTGGAATAGAGTTTTAATCCCAGTCTTATGATCGATTGTTTCTACCTAGCCTCAATACGGTATTTTTATTCATCTCATATGCATGTGAAAGCTGGACAATGAAAAAGGAAGACCAAAGAATTGACACAGTTGAATTGTGGTACTGGTGAAGAATACTGAATATACCGTGGACAAATTTGGAAGAATTACAGCTAGAATGCTCCTAGAAGTCAGGATTGTGAGATTTTTGTCTTGTTAACTTTGGGCATGCTTTCAGGTAGGAACCAATTTGTGGAGGAGGACATCATACTTGGGAAATAAGGGTCAGCAAAGAGGAAGACCCTCAACAAGTTGGACTAACACAGTGGCTGTAACCACAAGCTCAAGCATATCTACTATTGTGAGGATGGTATCGGATGGGGCAACATTTCATTCTGTTATACACAGGGTTGCTATGAGTAGGATCCAACTTAACGGCACCTAACAGCAACAATGACAAACCTCTAACAAAACTCGTCTTTCCTCCCAGATCCCCAGAATACCTGTAAGTAGGAGACTCTAGCAAGGATAGGCTGGGCATCAATCGTTTAGTTTATCTTTAATGGGAGTCTCTATATCTGTTTGTGTGTGGCACTGGAAACTACTACAGGGGAAAGGCCATGAGAGAAAAGTGCTTCAATTACCTTCTTATAGGAAAAAGCAGGTAGTCAAAAGGAGAAAGCAGCTTACTACAAAGAATCTTGACATTTCCTTTCCTAGATCAATGCCACTGGCAGCAAAGCCCTTACAAGCTTCATCTGTAGGAACAACAGACAATGAAAAAGAAAAGAAAAATCTAATACAGAGTAATAAAAATAACTGCTAAAAGCTAATACTTATATGCTGTTACTGAGGGCCATCAAGTTAATTCTGACCCATAGAAACCCCATGTGGTAGAGCAGAAGGCCCCACAGGACTTTTTTAGCTATCATCTTTACTGAGGCAGATTGCCTGGTCTTTCTTCCATGGAGCCACTGGTGGACTCCGACCACAAACCTTTTGGTTAGCAGCACAGCACTTAGCCATTGTACCAACATAATAATTATTATATATCCATTACCATATGTGCCAGGCACTGTGTTAAGTCCTTTGCATATACAATTCATTTAACTCTCACAATTCTTTTCATTTTTTTTTTACGCAGTTTCTCAGATTATTTGCTCAGCATACAGGTTGAGTAAGTATGGTGAAAGAATACAACCCTCCCTGTTGCACACCTTTCTTTCTTTTTTTTTAGGGACACAATTCAATCCATGATAGTATCCAACAATAAGATATTTTTTTAAATTTAGTAAATAAGAGAAAATATAACAGAATAGTCTGTCTTAGTCTGGAAGCAAAGAATACCAGAAAATGTTTGCCTGTATTTTATTAACTATGCAAAGGACTTCAACTGTCTCACAATTCTTTTGAGGTTGTTACTGTTATATGCCATCAACTCAGTTCCAACTCATAACGACCCAGTATGGGTTTCCAAGAGCAGCTGGTGGATTTGAACCACCAAGCTTGTGATTAACAGTCCAGTGCTTAGTGTTGATAATTGCTGTTGAGTCAGTTCTGACTCATAGCAACCCCATATAGGGTTTCTGGAAGAGCACCTGGTGGATATGAACTGCCAATTTTGTGCTTCGCAGTCCAGTTTGTGGTTCGTAGTCCAGTGCTGATCCTACAGTGCCACACCAGAAATCCTAAAGGTTAAGTACTATTATTATTTCCATTTTACAGATAAGTTAAAGTAGGCCACATATTAGTGATAGCGTATTATTACATCAGTAAGTGATAGCTGATCTGGATCCAGAACCTATACTCCTACCCACAGCAGTATTATGTTTCCTGGTAGCTTAGAACAGATGAGATCCTGTATGGATTCTTATGTTTTAGTCTGTAAACTCTTACTTTGTCCACAGTGTTTAAAAGTCCTTGAACCTTCCTGAAATTGTATACAAAAATTTTAAACATTATCTGTATGTGTGCGTTTTTCCTAGAAAAAAGAATCCTAACTTTTATCAGATTCTCAAAAGGGTCTATAAGTTTAAAAAATACTAAGATATCCTGTCATAATGTTGGAAATGTTTTGTATCTTTATCTGAATGTTGGTTACCAGTAAATCAGTGAATGGTGGTGGTGTTGTTAAGTGCCATCCAATCAGTTCCAACTCACAGCGACGCTGTATATTGTTTCCAAGGAGCGCCTAGTGAATCTGAACCACTGACCTTGCAGTTCAAACCGACCTTGCGGTCTAGTGCATTACCCCACAGCACCACAGAGCTCCTACCAGTATATATGTTGTTGTTATTGTTGAGTACCATGGAGTCAGTTCCAACTCATAGTGACCCCTGCACAGGGTTTCCGAGGCTGCAAATCTTTACGGGAGCAGAAAGCCTCATCTTTCTCTGTGGAACAGCTAGCTGGTAGTTTCGACCTGCCGACCTTTAAGTTAGCAGCCCTATTTGTAACCACTACGCTGCCAGAGCTCCTTACGAGTATTTTATGTAAAATACGTCAAACTGTTCACTTAAGACTTGTATAATTTATTGTATGAGTATATAATTTTTACATTAAAAAAAAACAACAACCTTCTAGAATTTTCTAAAGAAAGCAATGCATACATAAAGAATAACTCCTATTTAGGAGAGGCAAAACCGGTAGAAATGAAAACAGAAGAAAGTAGACCAGCCATAGGGAAGAAAAGGGGTGACTTGGAAACCAATCTGAGATAATCTCTAGGGTTTTCATTGGTAAGGCCCTTTGGAAGACACAGAGGAAGAAGAGAAACACAGAGGCAATTATTTCTCCTTTTGGACTCTGAAGATCTGTGGTCCTAGCCACCCCACCCCAAGTTTTTGTTTTGTTTTAGAGATAATTTAAGACTTACAGAAATCTTTCAAAAATAATAGAGTTCCCATATTTACAGATATTCCCTAGGACAAGCTTTCCTAACGTTTTCTTGTTGTTAAGTGCCGTCAAGTAGGTTCTGACTCATAGAAACCCTGTACAGGGTTTCCAAGGAGCAGCTGGTGAGTTTGAACTACCAACCATGTGGTTCAAACCAACCTTGTGGTCAAGTACTTATTCTGCAGCACCACATCATAAACGTTTTAAAAACTAAGAAATTAACCTTAGTATAAATACAGAACTTAATTCAGCTATTTGTTTTTCCACTAACATCTTTTTTCTGTTCCAACTTAGCATCTAATCCTGCATTTAATCCTGCATCTAATCCTGCATCTTTATTCCTTCCAGGAATGACAGTTCCTCAGTCTCTTATCTTTCATGACTTTGACACCAAAGAATATTGGGTCTGTCTGATACTTCCTCATGATTAGATTGAGGTTATACATTACTGGAGAGGATACTTGCTCTTCTCAATGCATCATATGAGGTATATAATGTCAGTATGTATTACTAGTATGTAGCACTGCAGAATAATGTGTTAGGCTGCAAGGTTAGTTTGAACTGCAAGGTTGGCAGTTCAAATCCACCAGCCATTTCTTCGAAACCCTATACAGGATTCTTATGGGTCAGAACTAACTCGACAGCACTTAACATCAACAACATTTGATCCATAATCAGTGCTCATGGAAGCAGTCATTGAGAAATCAAACAATGTATTATATTGGGCAAATCACCTGCAAAGGATCTCTTTAAAGTGTTAAAAAACAAAGATGTCACTTTGAGGACTAAAGTGCACCTGACGCAAGTCATGATGTTTTCAATTGCCTCCCTATGTATGTAAAAGCTGGACAATGGATAAGGAAGACTGGAGAAGAACTGATGCTTTTAAATTATGGTGCTAGAAGAATAAATCTATCTTCAAAGAAGTACAGCCAGAATGGGCTCAAATATAACAATTGTGAGGATGGCCAGGGCAGTGTTTCATTCTGTTGTGCATAGGGTCACTGAGTCAGGACCAACTTGACAGCACTTAATGCTGTAAAGTAAGTACTGAACACTAACTGCAAGGCTGGTGGTTCAAATTCACCAGCCAGTTCTTAGAAACACTATACAGGATCATTATGAGTTGGAACCAACTCAATGGCACTTAACAACAAATTAGATGTTAACTTTGATTAATTGGCTAAAGTGATAGATGCTAGGATTCTCCTCTGTAAACATACAACTTTTCCTTAAATATTTTGATAGAGTTGAGTGATTTAAAAAAAAAAAAAAAAGTCATACTGACCCAGTGATTTGTTTCCAAAGAGCATGTGTTTAGAAATGGCTCATATCTGACAATGCATAAATGACAGCAGGTATTCATAAATCTGTGTGGCCTCACCTGTCAGTACTCAGTCATAGCTATACCTAAAAAATCTGGGACTGGATGCTGGAGAGCACCTTCTCATGGTTCCTCTGGACAGGGATGATCAGTATTCACAACAGCTCTCCTTTCCTCTTGCTACTTGCCAAAAAGAGTCAAACCTGTGTATTGAGGGAGTAGGCTACCGGACCAATACATTCTATCTCTGGGGGATTGTAATGTCTCACATTGTTCACCCACCCTCCAGCCTTGTCCACTGTTGTGTACAATCGAGTTGGTTCCAACTCAGAGTGACCCTGTATAGGGTTTCCATGAGAGGCTGGTGAATTTGAACTACGGACCTTGTGATTAGCACTCCAGTGCTTATCCTACAGTACTACGCCAAGGCTCGCCTTGTCCACATCCCCAACTTAGTCAATCCACATCCCCAACTCTGTACCTACTCTCAAGTGTATGTTCCAGTAGTCATCACTGACTGTGATTTACAGTCAAAGGAGTAAGAACTGCTGCAAAAGGGAAAGTCGAGAAAAGTAATGGAGACAGGTTTTTACACCCTGAATGGAAACATTGCTCACATTTCTTTACTTTTAAATATTTATAACTATAAGTTAGATAAGGAGCTCTGGTTGTGCAGTGGTTAAGGTCAGCAGCTAGAAACTACCAGCTGTTCCACAGGAGAAAGAAGAGGCTTTCTGCTCCCGTAAAGATTTACAGCCTCGGAAAACCTGTACAGGGTCACTATGGCTCGGAACCAACTCCACAGCACATAGCCACCAGCCATACAATTTAGGTATTATTTACAACTTAAAAGTTAAACAGGATTTTAAGGGCAAGTCTGAGAATATTTTTCCTACAGGAAAACACACTTCAATCAATGGATGTATCCAAAAGTGTGTAATCTAGGATAAAATCATTGTCAAATACAACTTACATTCTTTAGAAAATAATCTCTTTCGTTTGCCCTGTCCACCATCCGAACCTCCTCCAATTTCTTCATTTTCTTCCTCAAACTAGAAGTTAAAATGTATATATACAAATGTTAAATGATTCCACGGCATTTAAATTTTAATGATTAACATTTTTTATATTATTAACACTGATATGACACGAAAGCCTAAGGCAAGTAGCAATATCATAAAACCTTAGTATTAAAAAGGCATTAAAGACATCCAATTTCTGACTCATGAGAAATGTTTTCTAAGTTGCTCCCACTGGTTTTCCTGGAAGAGTCCAATGAATCTAAATTCCCCTCTGCCTCCCTTTAACCATCTAAGTTGACCTAGTGTTACTATTGAGTGAGTTGGTACCGAGTTAATGTCTGCTTCACTGTGGTAAGCAAAACTAATATTTACTTAGTGCAAGGAACTTTAATTAATGAAGCCTTATGCCCATTTTATGACAAGGAAACTGAGGCTCAAAGTTAAATAACTTGCTCACAGAGAATAGAGATTATAAAATGCAAGTGCCCTTATATTGGTCCATTATTTTCCCACTACTTTACAGTATGTATACAGTTCTGTTAGCAGTTGAACTATTGTTCATAATGAGCTTGAAGGAATATAGGCTTTGAACTCTAATGATTCCCCAGATGTTCCAGGCTGTCTGGACGACAGGGACCAAAACCAGCAGGAATGGAGCCACCTTCTTACTCTTCCTTCCTTTAGTATGCTCCACATACTAAAATTATGAATCTTTGGGACAAGACAGCCAAGGTGCGAGGTCCCCGAACTGACTTGGCTGAATTCACTAAGGGAAACAGACCCGATCTTGAACTCGACCTCGAAGGTCGCCGCTACTGAGTGAAAAAGAAGAAGGCTAAGGCAAAGGCGGTCACTCACGGTGGGATCTTCTTCCTCATCTGCCATCCCACCAATCTCCCAAGCTACAAATCCTCGCATGCGCACTCAAATAGGTTTTTTACTTCCTTCTCGTCACTTCCTGTGACGTCAGGGGCGGAGCGGGGGCGGGACTTTAACTGGGAACCGGACACCCTAGATGTTGTTATGTTCTGTGGAGTGACTCATCGCGACCCTGTACAGGGTTTCCGAGACTGCAAATCTTTACGGGAGTAGAAAGCCTCATCTTTCTCCCCAGAGCGGTTGGTCGTTTGGAACTGCTAACCGTGAAATTAGCAGGATTCGTAACCACTACACTACCAGAACTGCTTGGGACCTGTTTTGTCCTCCTTGGCGACGTAACCACAAAAATTCCTAAGGAAGGAGGAGCGAGTTCTGTGGTCTCTAAGGAGGAAATTAAAATTTAGCGGAGAAAAAGAAGCCATGGACTAGGTGGCGTGTATTTCTTAGTGACTAAATTTGCTTCTACGTGTGGAATTACTGCTTTCCTGATTCGTAACTGCGAAGCTAAGGGGCCATTAAGGGATTAGTTGGTGGTCCTTGGGCTGACCCAAAGGTGTATTTAAATAATTTCGGCAATTTACGGTTCCAATATTTATTGCAAGTACAGTGTTAGATATTGAGGGTATTGTGCTTCATTACTACCCCTCTAAGGAGCTGTTAAAGGAGCTCTGAAAGCGTAGTGGTTACGAATCGGGCTGCTAACCTGAAGGTCGGTAGTTTGAAACTACAAGCCGCTCCGCGGGAGAAAGATGAGGCTTTCTGCTCCCGTAAAGATTTACAGCCTCGGTAACCCTGTGCAGGGTCACTATGAGTCGGGACCGACTCCACGGTACTTAACAACAACAACAAAGAACTGTTAAGTGCTGTCGAGTCGGTTCCAACCCTTGGCGACCCCGTATGGGGTTTCCAAGGAGCCGCTGGTGAGTTTGAATCGCTGACCTTGCAGTCCAGTGCATTAGCCCACAGCGCCACTCCAGGATTCCAAGGAGCCCTGGTCCACTACTAGCTGTGCTGCTAACCGCAAAGTCAGTAAGTAGTTCGAATCTACCGGCCGCTCCTCCCAGAAAGATGAAGCTTTCTGTTCCCGTAAAGATTTACAGTCTTGGAAACCCTAACAGGGTCCCTATGAACTGAACAGCCTTGACCGCACTTAACAATAACCCAAAAATTATCTCTCAAGGGTGCAATACCACTTTCTAAACAGGATTTAAAATTTCTTAGGAAAATGTTTTGTCTTAAAAAGGAGCACTGGTGGCGCAAGTGGGTAAGCACTGGGCTGTCAACTTAGATTGGTGTTTGGATCCACCAGTTTATCTGGGGAGAAACGTAGCAGTCTACATCCCTAAAGATTGTTGTTGTTGTTAAGTGCCATGGAGTCAGTTTCGACCCATAGCGACCCTGTATAGGGTCTCCAAGGAGCAGCTGAGGACTAGAGACAATTACATTGGAGACAGCAGCAAACCAAAGAGAAGATGGAAAGATTACATGGGAACAATGGCAGA